AGGATTAGAAGCATGGCAGAAATGCAGGTTAAAAATTGAAATTGAAGGGCTAGAGGTATGGCTTAAGTGGTAGAGCCACCGTTAAGTAAGCTCAAGGCCCTGAGTTCAAACCTTAGTACTGCCAAAAATAAAGAAATGAAAGCTAGGCGCTGGTGGCTCTCACCTGTAATCCTGGCTACTCAGGAGGTTGAGATCTGAAGATCACAATTCAAAGCCAGCCTGGGCAGGAAAGTCTGTGACACTCTTATCTACAACTAATGACCAGAAAACCAACAGTGGCATTGTGGCTCAAAGTGGTAGAGTGCTAGCCTTGAGCAAAAGAGCCCAGGGACAGCACCCAGGCCCTGAATTCAAGCCCCATGACCCAAAAAAATGGTCTTTTCTGCAAAAAAAAAAAAAAAAAAAATGAAGAGCAAAGTAGAGGACAAAAGGTGAGGGAAATATGTCCTCTATTAGAATGCAGGATAACTCACTTCAAATAGTTTGTCTGTGACCAGAGGAAACAGGTGGCCTAGGTATGTCTTTAAATGTTACCATACTTTTAATACAAAATGTTAGTAAAAGATTAACCAACTGTTTTCCTCTAATATCACTTTGCAAATCCCTGTGTTTCTGTTCTGAGAATGTAGGACTGTACTTCCATCTGTGTCCATGAGCAGTCACTGATGTAGAAACATAGCAGCTGATCACTGTGAGAAGTATTTCTTTTCCTTTTTAGTTTGGAAGTATGATAATTCAGCTAATGAAAGTTCATTACCGAGCAAACTAATAACAATGACTTTTTCCTATTTAGAGTTTTATATAGTATTTATGTCTTAAAGATTGCACATAAATGTGGCAGGGTCTCTTAAATTATTTAGTATGTGTGAAGTCTAAGCACTGATAATTGCTTTATAGGAGAGAAATTGCTTTGGAAAACACATAGTCTGAAAGTTCATTTTTATTAAAGGGTAACTCACAGTGTGAAAATCTTACATGTACAAAAGAGCTGCTAAGCGCTAGTGGCTCATATCTACAATCCTAGCTACTCAGTAGGCTGAGATATGAGAACCAAGGTTGCAAAGCCAGCATAGGCAGACAAATCCAAGAGATTTTTATTTCTAGTTAACCCGTAAAAGCTGGAGATGGAGATATGGTTCAAGTGGTAGAACACTAACCATGAGTTAAAAACCCTAGCAAGAGTGATAGGCCCAGTCCAAGTCCCAGTGTTGGCACCAAGGGAAAAAAAGAAAAAGAAAAAAGACTCGTGTAATTAAGTGTAACAACAATGATTTAGGTAACACAAAATGGACCTGCTAGTTGTACAAGTAGCTTTGTTATAATTTTATCATTCAATGCACTATCCTCAACTCAAGTGCTAACAGTAAAGTTCCAAAGCCCATGTTTTTTTCCAGCACTACACTGGAGGTAGACTTCTAACAACAATGCTAATTAAGTATATATCATTCTAAAATAAGTGGGTTTTTGTTTTGTTTTACTTTTTTTAAGTGCCAGTACTAGGGCTTGAACTCTTAAGAGTAGAGCTCTTGATCACCTTTTCTTGCTCAGGGCTGGGCCACTTTTAAAACAAAAACATGTCTCAGATTTTTCTGCCCCCAATGGCTTTACACCTAGATCCTCAGATCTCAGCCTCCGGGAGTATCTAAAATTACAGGTATATGTGCCAGCAGTTCCTAGCTCTGTTACAGCTTTTTAAATCTGTTGAATTTTTTGCCTTGTAATTCACACTAGGGGGCACTGCCATACTGTAATCAGAATTGTGACCTTTAAATTACTTATAGTTCAAGTATCTAAGTAGGTTAGCATTACAGAAGGTTATGAAAGGATTCCCCCCCCCCCCAGGGGTCATTCCTAGGGAAATGTGACTCAGTGGTACTCAAGTGTCTGGTTAGCATTTAGCACTGATTTTTTTTTTTTTTGAGGCAGTTAAAGACAAATATGCTGGGCTGGGAAGGTGGCTCAGGAGTAGAGTGTTTGCCTTGCATGCATGAGGCTCTGGGTTTGATTCCTCAGCACCACATAAGCAGAAAAAGCCAGAAGTGGTACTGTGGCTCAAGTGGTAGGGCATTAGCCTTGAGCTGAAGAGCTAAGGAACAGTGTCCAGGCCCAGAGTTTAGGCCCCACAACTGGCAAAAAAAAAAAAAAAGCAAATGTGCTCAAAGAAATGTATCTCACATTAAATACAATAATTGATTTGCTAAATACAATAATTGATTTGCTAGTCTACTTGTTTTAAAGTCAGATGTTAATCTATCAGCTTGCCATGGTGGCACACATCTATAATCACTGCTATTTGGCAGGAGGACCTTGAGTTCTTGGCTAGCCTGGCAAAATCAGTAAAACTCCATCTCAAAGATGAAATATAAATGAGTTGAGAACATGGTCAAATGGTAGAATACATGAATGCAAAGCTCTGGCTTTGATCTACAGTACTGAAGAAAAAAATGTTACATTATACTGCCATTTTCAAACTTGTCCTTTTAATATAATTCTGATGGGGAAAACATGGCTGGGGATGTGGTGGGGGGGAGGAAGAACCCTAGAGAATAACAGAATCGAGAGGCAGCAGGGAGATTGCTCAGGGAAGAAATCACACCAGATGCAGATGCTGGCTAGTAATTTCACTGGCAGTTACTATTAATAAAAGACATGGCATATTCTGTGTGTCAAAACACTTCCTTTCTCCCCTCCCTGCCCCCCCCCGCTCAGTCATAGGTCTTGAACTCTGGGCCTGGGTGCTGTTCCTGAGCTCTTTAGTTCAAGCCTAATGCTCAGCCACTTGAGCCACAGCGCCACTTCCAATTTTCTGGTGGTTAATTGGAGAAAAGAGATAGACTTCCTGTCAGGGCTGACTTTGAACCGTGATCCTCAGATCTCAGCCTCCTAAGTAGCTAGGATTACAGGCATGAGCCACTGGCTCCCAGCCTCAATTTCTAAAACTGGGAGTGTGAAGAACACACAAAATGTGTTGATATGGCCAGGCGCCAGGGGCTCATTCCTGTAATTGTAGCTACCCAGGAAGCTGAGATTTGAGGATCACAGTTCAAAGCCAGCCTGAGCAGAAAAGTCTATGAGGCTCTCCAGTTAACCACAGAAAAACTGAAAGTGGAGCTGTGGCTTAAATAGTGGAGTACAAGCTTTGGGCAAAAAATCTTAGGGATAGCAGCCCAAGCCCTGAGTTCAAGCCCCACACCCAGTAACAGGGTAAAAAAGTGGCTACATAATTGAGAATCATATCTTCTTATGTAGCAGTGTCTCTGAGATTAAGGTTACAACTTTAAACAACTGGGCATATTACGAAGCACTCATGGTTTTGTCTGTCATCACTGGCCTTCATACCCAAGCCACCTCTTAACAATGAGCTGAACTTGCTGTAGTTAATGCTTTGATGAAATATGAGTAATCACTGGGCCTTTGTTTACATTGGATTGGTCCTAACACTAATGGACAAATTTAGATTAGGAAAATTATAAGATATATTAATGGCTGAGATAATTATCTTGAAGACAACCTGTGGCCTTAAACATCAGCTTGCTTATTTCTTTCCAATAGTGAATTCTACTGATTTGAGATTTAGTGTGTTTTTCTGTGCCATTCTTGGGACTTGCACTCAAGGCCTGGGTGCTGTCCCTGAGCTTTTGTGCTCAAGGCTGGTACTCTACCACGTAAGCATTGCTCCACTTCTGGCTTTTTTGGTAGTTAAGGAGATGAGAGTCTCATAGACTTTCCTGCCTGAGCTGGCTTTGAACCTCAATCCTCAGATCTAAGTCTTCTAAGTAACTAGGGTTACAGGTGTGAGCCACAGCATCCAGCTTAATCTTATTTAGAATGTTGATATTCTTGTTTAAAAACATGTTGGATATGGTTGTCTAAGCATGTAAAAATGCCTTTACCTTTTTACCAGTGACTACACTTAGGTTGAGTCAAATTGCCAGATAGTCTGGATGCTTTCCACTATGTATAGTTGTCGTTAGCAGCATTCTCATCATAAAGGGGTATGAATCATGGAGTTCCTAAACTCTTGTGTAAGGAAGTTTACAGAGAACTAGCATGAGCAATGTAGTAAGTCAGGAATTGCCACAACCCTAGCAAGAAGTTTATGGGCTGGTAACAGGCAGAAATATAATTGCATAATTATCTTAGTTTTGACAATTTTGCAAAGAGATTGTTTTTTTTTAAAGTCATGTCTATGATCTAGTTTGAATTCTGAAAAAGAAAAGCCAGCACCAGTGGCTCACACCTATAAACCTAACTAAAGAGGCTGAGATCTGAGGATCATGGTTCAAAGACAGCCCTGGCAGAAAGTCCACAAGATTATCTCCAGTTAACTACCAGAAAACTGGAAGTGGTGCTGTGGCTCAAAATGGTAGAGCCTGAGCAAAAAGAGCTCAGGGACAGCACGTAGGCCTTGAGTTCAAGCCCCACGATCAAAAAAAAGGCAGGGAAGAAAGGAGAGAGAGAAAGAAAAAGGAATGAAAGAGAGGTAAGGTTACCATTTGTTGCCTTAAACAAGCCAGGAATAGTGGATTAGCTACTGGGGAGGCTCAGATTGGAAGGATAACAGTAGGAAGCCAGCACAGGCAAAACGTTCTTAAGACCATATCTCAACCCAATAAGAAGATGCACATGGTGGTTCCCACTTGTCATCTCAGCTATGGGAAAAGTATAAATAGGAAAATTGTAGTTTAGGCCAACTAGGCAAACAGCCAGACCCTATTTTAAAAAGCCAAAAAGGGATGGGATTGTGGCTCAAGTGGAAGAACACCTATCTAGCAAGCACAAGATCCTAAATTCAAACCATAGTACTGCCCAAAATAAATGCTCATTAAGTGTAAATGAAGGAAGTGTAATTTTCTGACAAGTACTGTCCAATAGTGAGTTTGGTAGAGACAACAAAACTGAAAAATCATTGTAAAGGCAATTCTTGGAGTAATGTGCAGATGCTAGACAAGCAAGAACAGTTCTGAAGAGTACATTTCTAAAGGAGCTGAAACCAGTCATGAAAATTCATATATTCACTTTATTGGCTGCTGAAGTTCAGTCTCTGATGCTTCTTCCAGCCTTCTCTGATACTGTCTTTCTGAGGCTTTTCTACGGTAGACATCATCTGTATCAAACAAAAATTTTGCTTAGATTGTCAGAAAACAGGGCTTTTATAACATACTCAAGTCTGAGTGATTCAACCAACAGGCTTAAGTTTGTCATCTATTTCTGAATCTCAGTGTTTAACCCAAGGGCAAAACAGACTTAAAACTAGTTGAATGAATACTAGTTAGTGGAGTTCTAGACTTTGGTAGAAACATTCTGACACACCTCTTGGTAATGTTTCAGCATTCCTTCACTTCCTTCCCACTTATGATTTCTGTTCTCTCTAAAATAATACTTAATTGGGCTGGGAAGGTGGCTCAGTGGTAGAGCGCTTGCCTTGTATACATGAAACCATGGGTTTGATTCCTCAGCACCACATAAGCAAAAAGAAAAAAGCCGGGAGTGGCACTGTGGCTCAAGTGGTAGAGCACTAGCCTTGAGCTGAAGAACTGAGGGACAACGCCCAGGCCCAGAGTTCAGGCCCCACGACCGGACCCAAAAAATAAATAAATTAAAATTAAAAAAATAAAATAATACTTAATGGACCTGGCCCCTCAAAGGTACTTCATACCCTGAAGTGATGTGCTGGCTCCCTTTTCCATACCCCACAACCTCAGCATAAGGAGGGGAAGTCAGTTTCCTTCTCAGCTGCTGTTTTTCCAGACTGTGATTGCTGTCTTCATTTTTTTTTAATCCTCTTGCTTTTTAGGTTGCACACGAGTGTGCGTGTGCGCATGTGCGCACGCGCACTATTCCTGAGGTTTTTGTTTTTGTTCTTTTCCCAAGGCTAGTGCTCTACCACTTGAGCCACAGCTCTACTCCCAGCTTTTTGGTAGAAATAGTCTCACTTTCCTACACAATCCTCAATCTCACTCTAAGCACATAGGACTATGGGTATGAGACACCAGCCTGACTCTTACTGTTTTACTGGATTTTGAATTCAGGGCCTGTGCTTGTTCAACAGACACTCTGCCACCTATGCCATGCCGAGGTCCCTCTTCCTTTAAAAATTCTTCCTTCAGGGCTTGTGCCATTTTGAGCTGGGAAGGTGGTTCAGCAGTAGCGTGCTTGCCTTGTATGCATGAGGCCCTGAGTTCAATTCCTCAGCACCACATAAGCAGAAAAAGAAGGACGTGATGTTGTGGCTCAAGTGGTAGGGCACTAGCCTTGAGCTGAAGAGCTGAGGGACAGCACCCAGGCCCAGAGTTCAGGCCCACGAGTGACACCCCCCCCCCAAAAAAAAGTGCTATACAGGGCTTGTGCCATTTAACAGTCACTCTCTTCCTGGGCTGGCACCTGCTCTATCACACACACCCATTTGGTCACTGAAAAACACTAGACTCTTGCTCTGGCTCCTTGTCCCATCCTGAACCTTCTCAAAAACACTGCCACTACCCTTGTAGACAAAGAACCAACCCCCTTTGCCTTCCTGACTTCTTCTTTTTCAATGCTGTATGGAAGGAATTCTGCTTAAACCACAACCTCTCTACCCTTTCACCTTGGAGTTCATCAACTTCTCCCCCAGATACTTGGCTCTTCGTTTTCCCTTCATATTCTCTCTTGGCAAAGTGGATGATATTCCTTCACAGTCATCAATATCTTGACTTATACACACACCCTCTGGCCAGAGGCCAGAGATTAATTCAACTTCCTACTCCATGACCCTTGATAGCAGTACCTAAGTCCATCTACTGCCATGTCTGGAAATCAAGTTTTCTCAATGAAGACCCTCAACTTTCTTTACTCACCTCTGAATGGCCATGAACTCTTTCTACATAAATAAGTTACTACAATGAACTCTCAGCTAATCTCCAAGGCTACTCCCATCTTCATAAGAGCATATCTACACCTCCACCCCCAAGGGCTATCTTCACAGACTCCTTCACAGACTCAAATTTCCTTAACTTCATATTTATGAAAACCTTCCTGGTGTCCCTAACTTCCTTCTCTGACCACTCAAGTCATCCTAAAATGGTTGGCCTTCACTATGGTTTACTTGTGAATGGTACAGAAACCCAGATTTCTAATCCAGTTCAGTCTCTTGAGTTTGAGATTTGTAAACCTCCACCTCAGCATGTCCTGAGTGGAGCTGAAGGTCACCTTGCCTGAGCACTCCACCTTCAGAGAGGTAGCAGCCATGTTCCATCTTGATCATCAAGCTTTGTCAGCATTATGTCTGGGCTGTCAACATCACTCAGTCCTTCTACCTCCAACCTAGACACTAGCCTCTCTCAAATGCAAGCCCAGACTGTGTTCCCACCAGTGTTTCCACATGAGCCCCATCAAACCCTTCAATCCTGCTCACTAATCCCACTGTGGTCCTGTCCAGGTTCCTTTCTAACCACTTAACCCCTTGGCTCTCATCATCTACTTCCATCCCTCGGCACCCACAAGGCCTCCTAAACAAGGCACAAAAATTTCACAGACATTCCCACTTGGTTGAGTCTGCAAAACCTATTTTGTATGGTAGCTTTTACAAAAGTTTTCCATCTAGTCCAGTGAGATGCCCACCTACAATCCCTGAGCATCTCAGCTACACCCTAGCTCTAGTGGTAACTGTATGATCTGTCTTTCCCATTAGCTCTTCCAGAGTGGAGACCTGCCTTGTTCATTCGATCCCCTCTTGGGTGGTCAGTCAGAGGCAGTGACACACTGCTGTTAATCCCAGTTACTGGGGAGGTGGAGATGAGAAGACTGTAGTTTGAGGCTATCCTGGGAGAGAGTTATGGAGATTCCCCCTTCCCCCCTAAAATCAACAAAAAATGTAAGTATGGTGCCTAATCCTAACTTCTCAGAAGCCTTAAGTAGAAGGATCAGTATAGGCCTACTTGGACAAAAAAAAAAAGGAAAACAATCTGAAATATAAAACAAAGGACTGGGGGAATGGCTTAAATGGTAGGGTGCTAGTGGCACTGAGTTCAAACTCCAGCACCACACACATCCACTCATCCATACATGCACACTATTGATGAATAATGAACAGAAGGAAGTACTAACGTAATACCTTAAAAATGAGAGTTGGCAATTCACAAGTATTTCAGGAAAGTGGCTAGCAAAATAGCCTAGGGGCTGAGAGGTCCTGAAAAGGAACTGGCCTGCCCAGAAGTGGTGCTCAGAAAAGCAATGCCAGGCGTTCTTTTCGCAGTGGTGGGCCTCTGACCCAAGCAAAAGACCTGGTGCCAATGATGGCTCCGTAAAGACATTGGGCGTATTTAGTCAGACAGGCCAGTGCTCTCCAAGGCTTGGGACAATTAACTCAGAGAGGGAAGGCCGTTAACACGGATTTCTATAAATCCTCAGGATCCACCCCTCTGTTGTAAGATTCTCCCTAAGGCCCACTCACTGGCAGGCTCAAGGGCAGGCTTGAGAGGAGGGCGGCCTGAGATTGGGGATACGAGTCCTCCAAGTGTCGGGAAAAGTGACAATGCTGGACACCAGTGTGTGCGGTGAAGAAGAGGCCGGTGGGCATATGGCCAGAGTTGAACCAACAGTGGCAAAGTGAATGGAAAGGCACTTGTCCTTCAACCACAGTTTTAAAAGCAACTCGGTGCTGAAGGAAATCAGCAGTCTGCAATGTAATGCCCTCAAGGGAAACAGATCCCTGCTAGTCGTGCCTTCCTGAAAGGAAACGGAAGCTTACTGCACCCCCACTTACAGAAAGTCTCCTGGCCCACACGCACTTTAATCATGATCCACTCCATTGTTCCTCCCAGGACAAAAAAAAAGGGCAGGAACCTGTAGATGCCGAGTCGCTGCTTCCCGGGCACTCGCTGCAGAATTCGCCTCAGCTGGGCTCTGAAGAACATGCTCGACTGAAGTGGAAAAGGGCAAAGCGGACCTCGGGCGCCTGGAGTGCCCCTGTGCGGCCAAGCCCGTCCTGCATGTCCCCCGCCGCGTTCCGCGGCCAGGCCGAGCAGCCACAAACTCACGCCACAGCCGCTGCGGAGCTTGGGGCGGAAGTCGACCTCTCGGTTCCGCCAATCAGTTCGGCGGGGTGCGCGGATCCACCAATCAGAGTACTGTTGAGATGGAGCGGCCTAAAGGAGCAGGCGCTGGCGTCCCGGCTCTGGAGGGCGATCACAGGGGGCGGGGCCACCAACGTGGCGTGGGCCCCGCCGCGTCCCGGGTCTCCCCCGCGCAGGCTGGGCTGGGACTTGACTGCCGCGCACTTTGCCACCGCCATCTTTTTTCCCTGATACACTAACTGAAGTCGCGACCATAAGTGAAGGTCTGGCTAGTTCTGTACACCACCATACTCCAAAATGCAATTACGTTACGTCGTTCTTCCTTTAGGAATGTTACTCTTCTAAAAATTCGATATGCATTGTTTAAAGCTGAACTTTTCATTATCACTACAAAAGCCTGTTTTAGAGAAACAACCCAAAAATGATTTTTAAGAAGTAGCACTTTTAAGAAGGGCACTATTATCTAGGCATTTGTAGGTAGTTTTTGTTGTTTTGTTTTGCTTGCCTAGCCTCTATTCATAAATTGCACAGATAATTACAGGATTGCCAATGAGCATAGCTTTGTTATTAGATTACATCTTTGTGCCACCATCAATTCCCCTTTGATGTATTGAACACAGCACCTGAAACAATAACTAGTCAATTAACAGCTGCAATATTCATGATTATGCTTTATTGAGTTCTCATGCTGCACATAAATTCCCTTTACCAAAAAGAGATTAAGCCAGGCAGACACAGAGCTCTGACTCATGGTCCATGACCGCTTGCTAACCATACCTACAAGAGGCTTTCCCCCCCCCCGAACAATTGAAGTAAAGCTTTGAGAAGAGAGACAACTATGACCATCTTTAAGAGAGTCAAATGAAAGCCTACGTTCTTTTCCTGGTCCCCAGAAAAGGTCAAAGGCCTTCCATGAGCAGCTATAGCTCATTTCTCTTGATGTTTTGGAGGGCTGGACCCTGCAGGGCGTTCACTCCCCTGGAAGAGGTTTATATATGTCCTGAATCCAGGTCACACTTACAGCTCATGTGGGCCCTCAGGGACACTCAGGAACCCACTTTGTGGCCTCTGTGCCCAACCTAGGATCTGGCACACTAGCTAGGTGTTAGTCCAGATGCAGAAGCCTTGCGCAAACAACCTTAAACCCAGTGAGCATCCTGGGAAAAACCATGCACCCAGCTGACTTGCTCATCATGGATACGACTCACAGGGTGCTGGGCTGACATTGTCACCGGACGGAGGTGAGGTCACTAAACCTCAGCTCCGTCCGGTGACAATATCACTGGTATACCTGCAGGTAAGAAAGCTAAATAGAAAAACGAAGTAAAGAGAGGTTTCAAGAGGAAAAGAGAAATTTCATTGTAAGCTGCGACACTGATAGAATGGACTTGGGCCTCTCCAAAGAATGACTTCTCCGGCCAATGAAGAGTTGACAGATTTGCTGCAGCCAGAACCAGGTAGCTGTAGTGATTCACACAGCTCCACTAGGCTCCAAGTTAAAAGAAGTCCCCTGTGTTGGGTGCCTGGAGGCACAAAGCAGAGGCACAGGGGAGCGAGCAGAAAAGAGCTCTTTACTAGTTAAGTGAGTGAAGCAACCAGGGCTTTCAGCAGGCAGGGACCGGGGGGGGGGGGGGGGGGGGGGGGGGGGGTGGCGAGCAGGACGCCCAGGCAGAGAGATTTGGGGAAGGGGGGACCCCTGGAGACACGTGAACTGCCTTTTCCCTCTCTCGACCGTCGGGAGCCTAGGTCTTAGGTTCTCCTACTTTCTGAGCGAGGGACCAGAGAAAGAGCCGCCATCTCGGCGAAGACGACAATGGGGGGCGCCGATCCCTGGGCCGCGCGGGGGGCTGGGAGGAGGGGGTCGGGAGCCCGCCCCGCCCGGTCCCGGAGCCTCCCGCCCCCCCGAGCCAAGGGGCACACCCATTGGCCGGCCGGGATCCTCGCGCCGCGCCCATTGGCCGGCCTTAGTGAGGAGCATGCGGCCACCGTGGCGGGCGCGCAGTCGGTGAGCAGCGGGCTGGCGGACGGGCGGAGGGGCTGCGCGGGCAGCGCGCAGGGG